CTTTTCTCTTGGAACAAGTGAAATGAGTTTTTATCCCTGTGTCCTGCCTTATTCGGTGATAACTGCTTTTCCCTGCTCTCCCTTTGCTGCTCTCCCCAAGAAGCTTGTGGAGTAGGGGAGAGATTGTTTAGAGCTGGCTCTCTTTTTTTTTTTGTAATTTTTTAAATATTTACTTGTCTTTGGGAAATGCTGGGGTGGAAATTGCTTGCAGGAAATAACTGCTGGAAATAGGAAATCTCGGTGGATTTCCCATTTTCCAAGAAATACCCTGAAGTATTGATTTTTGTTAAAACTCTTCTGTGAGGGTTTTTGAAATGAAATTGTTTCCTGTTAATTTAGTTTAACACCTAAGTGGTAAATGTTTGTTGTTTTCATTACAGAGAATAAAAAAATGGTTTATAAAATCCTGAACCTTTGCTTTCTGCTTTGGTTTTCAGCATTTTCCTGTCTGCTGCCCGTAACATTTTTACCTTCTCTGGGGCTGGAAAGCAGTCCCAACCCAAGTTTTTTCCTTCTATGGCCAGAGCTGTGTAAAAGCAGATCAGATCTGCAGGCTGTACGGGCAGTTGCAGAGCGAATCCTTTGCAAAGTCCTGCTGTTAAACATGTGTGTAGTGCCAGCCCTGAAAGTACCACGGGCTGTCGCTTGGTGAGGGTGTAAATAACCTGTGCCCAGGTCCAGCAAGCAATGCAGGCATGGCGCGCGTTGTATAAAACCCGTTCTGAAACTGCCTCTCGTTCTCTCTGCTGGCTGATGGACTTAGTGCGATTTTTTCCACTGGTTTTCCGAAGGGAAGGTTCTGCAGGCGTCGGCCATGCCAAGGGGCAGAGGAAGGGTAGGTGAATGCGGAGAGGATGCTGACTACAGCACTGCGAACTCCTGAGTGTTGTAGCCTCCCGAACTGAGGACTTCGTTCTTCCTCTCTTCTAGTCACAATAACAAATGGCATCACCTTAATTAATGGCAAACTCCTGCTCGGGTGGTCTTACTTGGCTTAACAAGTGGCTTATTTCTGTCTTGGATTTACCTTGTTGCTGTAGCGCAATACACTTAGATGAAACGCTTCCAGCTCCGTTGCGAGCAGTGCCGTGGGGTGGCTGCAGCTGTGACACAGTCGGTATTCATGCAGCCATAGCAGAGCATTGAGCTTGGTGATAAAGGCAGGTGGGGGTAAAGGGAAGAAAGGGTGATCCCGCGGTGGACTGCAGTGCCTTTTCTACCTGTTAGGGTACAGATAGTCTTTCAGGGAAGAAGTGGCTTTTAACTCATGACAATGAGGTAACTCTACGGTACAGGTTTCTGAAATGCCAGGAGCAAAGGCAAGCGTGCTAGATTCTGTGACTCACTTTCTTCAGCTGTTGCTGAGACCACTCAACTTGCTTTCCTCAAGTAAAGACTCAGTATTTTCCGGTGTTGTGTATTCTCACGCAGAGAGTGCTTAGGTTTGCACAACATGCAAAATAATAATAATAATAATAATAGGCATATTCTTTGTGCTATTATAATTTACTTCAGAATTGATCCCTAACGGGAGAGGTGAATGATCAAATGCTTGGCTGGTGGGCTGTTTGCACTGTTCATGCCTATCTGAAGTGTCCAGTGACTGCAGGAGATAGACATAACCTCGTCTGGTTCACAATCCTCATCTTTGATAGTTTGTCTTCAGAGATGTAATGATGGAACGTGGCTTTTAGGCTCTACCTTATTTAATGTTTTTAACTGACGAAACAGTATGTTTTTGTCCGAGTCAGCAGCCTGTGAGCCAGCTGTTCATAGCTTTTATGAGATGGTGGTGGGAAGCTGACTTCAGTTACCTTTGAAAGACATGTGATGGTGATTTTACTGCAGCGTTGCTCCTGAGCAGGACTGACCCCGGGTCTTTCACCACTGAAGGTGGTCTCAGCTTCTAGGGTTCCTGAATCTAAAATACTAAGAAATGGCGGCACTAGGAAGGGCCCACCAAGTAAGTGTTGAGCAGTTGTGCTGGGTGGAGTACAGAAATACACTGCTGCCCCTGTGAAGGCAGCCTGTGCTCATGGAGAGTAATACCACGCCCTGTGATAGCTGCGCTGGAGCCATGGGACTATGGCAGGCAGGTTCTACTCCAGCTCAATCTCTCCCTGAATACTTAATGCAAAATTCAAGGCCTATTCCTTATTTAAATTCCTTGCCTTCCTAATTTGAAAGACATTAAGTTTTGGCCTTTGCTTTTAAGCAGATGGATGCTCATCATTTACTTGTACGATCCCTTTTTGTGCCACTGTATCTGTTAGGTGCAGGAAAAATTTGCATTAGTATTGAGGCAGATCAAAAGATTTCTTTCCACATATGCAGCAAATAATGTCTTTTTTTCTGGGAGAAAAAAAAAACAACCAACCATTTGTTTCCAAATGGTTTGTGAGATGATCATGATCAGTGTTCTTAAAAAAAAATCTATCCCCCGCCCCCGATGCGTCATCGTATAAGTATACATGGCTTCTAGTTTAGCATGGGTTTAGTATTTAAATATTTCCTAAAAGTTCATTGTGTTATTAAAAATACCCCCCCCCAAAACACACCATCCACCCAGAAAGATCACCCTAATTTATGGGAGCTCTAAAAGTAGTAGGATGACAGATAGGGAGGAAGGTGATCAATTAAGACATTAAGCATTTTGCACCACATGGACGCATCTGCATGTCAGCCAAATAATAAGGCCATCAGCTCATTTTCAGGGGGCTGTTGCCTACTTCAACTCAATCCTCAGATCAAAGAGAAAATGTCTGCTTGCATTTTCTAATCAGAAAAGGGATGCTAATTTAGGTTCCTTAATGTGTGGTGGTAAGAGACTTCTTCAATTAACTGAATTCTATAGCTCAGAAAATAAAAAAGGGGCATACAAAGGGAGTCAGGCTGGAAAGGCAGAAGTTCTCATTAAATCAAAGGTCCAATATTCATTACCTCCAGCATCTGGGGCTAAACACTAAACATGGAGATCATCAAAGGGGGTTTAATGGGTTAAATTGAGAATATAATCTAATTAAAATATTAGATACGAGTAAATAGCTCTTTGATATTCATCTGAAGGTTTCATTAAAATAGGTACTTGAAGTTTGTATTAAGGGGGGATTATCACTTTTAAGCAGAAACAACAAGTTGAGGTTCCCTAATCAGAAATGCTTCAAAGTGTTACCATTCGGTTTAAAAATAAAAGTAGAAAAGCAGCAACCGGCAGAGCATGGAAACGTTTACCTGGCCTAGCTTGATGGATCATACCAGAAGCATGCACATTCTACAAAGAGGGGGCAAATGCACTTCCCAAAGGCGAGGAGAAAGGGGGCTGAGGCAGAGGATGGTCCTGCTCCAGAAGCTGCAGCGGACATCTTTGATATGCAAAACGTTTCCCCTGCAACCCGACCCACAGTCCCCACACTGGAAGACACTTCTTCCTTCAAGTTTCCCCCAGAGATTATGCACGTCACAAACTTCCGCCTGCGAAGTCTAACTGTGTAATTCAGCACGTGTCATGGGAAGCAGCCAACAGGGTGGAGAGCTTTCTGTCTCTCAGGTGGGTCAGGAGGGCTTTAAAGAAGGGAATGTGTCCATTTTCCATGACAGAGAGATGCAGTATGGCGATCATTTGTTCCCATACTAGGCTGGGAGCCTGACTGGAGGTCCTTCAGGGTGTACTTCAGCAATTAAGCCACCTTCAGGAGGACTGAGGCTTCCTGAGGACTGTAGGATCTAGGCCAAAATCACCCAGGACTCTGTAAAATGAAAGGTATAGGACTTTTCCAGCAACATATGCCATACCTCCAGTGCCTTGACTTCAGAAAATTCTCTTTCCTGTGAGGCATCCAGCCAATGAAATGTTAACCCCAAACCATGTTGTCTTACACATTTCTATCTTTACTTTAATAAACGGTGCATCTAGAAAAGGAGAAAGCCATTTCAAAGATGTTCTTCTCTTTTATTCCCCACATCACCTTTCCATTGTTAGCCTCCTTCAAGGAGACTGGAACCCATTTTTTTTTTCCAAAGACTAATTCTCTCTCTCCTCCCATACAAAAGAGGAGGTCCTAATAAATCGGATAAAGTCATTACACTTAATCACAAGGTTGTTGGGTTTTTTTTCCCTTTTAACTAGCCTATTTTCTAAGAGATTTTGTGTTTTCTTCAAAATTCCCTTGCTGTGTGTTCTAATCACATTTCATATGTTGACTTAATTCATAATTTACTAAGTTAAAAAAATGGAATCATTGTAAGAAACCCATCTGTTTGTTGTTATTTTTATAGATTTAATCTGCTAAAAGCTGTTTCCTCTCCAACACGTAGCTCTCAATTATCCTTAGTTACTCAATATATTTTCCAACTGCTTCTGGCTAATAAGAGATTGTCTGCATGATCAGCCAGTACTTGTTTTGGATTTTCTTGTCCCAGATGAAGCTTCAAAATTTTGGTCTTGATGTGACAACTATTCACTAACAGATAACTGAGTAACATTTGAATAATTAGAATTATATCATTACCAACTACTATGTTTGGTGCACATTTTTGTTCTTTTTCTTACCAGTAATGGATTATTTTTGGCTCTATTTCTGGACAGTCTGCCAAAGTCTCCTCTGGACTTCAAAAAGAGAAGCATTGCTGGTATTAAGATCATCAAATGAAATCGATGCTTATTTTTAATGTTTTGTAGATATGCCCATATGTTTGACATGCCTAAAAATGATCCAGTTGTGACAAGCCAACAGCTGATTAGTCTGAAAGATGCAACTGCTAGATCAGTTGATTTCAAAGAAAAATAACAACAGAGATGACCGTATTTTAAGTGCTGCATATGCAACTGTTTACATTTTTGAAAATCAGGTATAGCAAAATATTCTAAAATTTAACAGTGATTAAACTTAGGTCACTTCATATTTCAATGGAATGGTAAATCGATATGTGATGGTCATAGCTCATAATTAAGTAGTTCAAACATTTTTGCCTTGAAGATATCCCTAATAATTTCAAAATACTTATAAGATATGAAGGCTTCTGAAAGCAGCTACTACTTGCTTCTCCTTCTCATGTCTATTTTGCAGAGTTTCCAAGGATGCAATTTGAGGTAAACTGTCTCCATTTAAAGTCTGTGGCAGAACTCTTTCCTCTTTCACCTCTTCATCCGATTGTCTTGCCGTGAAAGCCTTTGGTCTAGGAATCTTCTTAGCATATTCCAGCGCCTAAAATCATGAAAATTGGGGTAACTGATTAAGAGAAAACCTGACCAAGAAAATTTAGGTGTTTCTATCTTGTGTGAAATTAATAGTTCTCCTAATTCCTGACCTCGTTTCTGACAGTGTTCAATACTAGATACTTCAGTGGTGACTCCAAGAAACCTCTGCAGTGGGCAAAATAACCCACCTCAGGGAGATTTGCTTTCTGACACTTAGCACTGGAGGCCACCTTAAATACCGAAGCAGTGTTTTTTCTTTAAAAAAGAAAAAGCAACCCGAGTCTACTAAGTTTATAAACATTTTTTTCCCCGTCTCATTAAGCTCTTGTCTCCAGTCATTTCTTAGAGCAGGGAGTTCTGCAAGTTAACATGACAGGGATGGAAACTGCGTGCTCCTCTGACAAATTCTAAGGAATTAATGTATTGAAAGGCATAAAACATTAAAACAAATTTTGAAAAGAAGTCTAGGTAATTGTTTTAAATTCTCTGGAACCTGATTTAATATATTCCCTTGACAAATTCCTTTTTGGTTAATTTCAAAGCTAACACGGTTCCGAACAAGAACAGATTTCTGAACAAGTGAGGATGGCATTAGACATGCCAGAACTGCCTCTCACAGAGTTCCCAGAGTTCTGTTACAACCATGCATATTCTATTGTGACTGGAAATTCTTTACCAGTAACACACAGTCTGTGCAGGATCCACATATCCTATACTGAGAACATGAACAGCAGCATGAAATAAACCACCATGCAATTCCTTTCTACTTCAGACGCTCTGAATGTGTGTAGGGTGAACAATTACACCATGAAGCAGAGGCAAAGGAGGGCAGCAATGGAATACTGACAGGGACAGCATATCTTGAAGAACTGCACTTTCCGCACTGGCTGAGTGTTTCCTTTTATCACGCGCTATTCCAAGTACGTATTTCTGTAGCAGCATGTAGGTAAACTTGCAAGTGTGAATATGAGTTGTAGGTGAAGACTGTATTGTGCAAACAAGAAGTGTGTAAGTTCTGTTTAACTGGGCTTAGGCTCTACTACACGATAGGCTTAACTATCAAATTTAAAAAGAAAAATGGGAGTATTCAAGCTGTTGTTCTAGATCTGACACGCCTCACTGAAGCTGAGCAGGGCCATGCTGAAAGAGGCATGCAAAGTAGATATGTGTAAGAGGGTCAAATAGTACGGAATGATGTGTGGAACCTGGAAGGCTGTCTTGCAGGGGGAATGGAAACAGTATTACAGAAATCCCAAAACTGAGAGAGCCCGGGATTAATCTGGCACATTTTTTGGTGTCTGTGTTTCAGTTGCATGTATTTGGAAACACCTGTTCTGTCTCCAGTGGAAGCTGCATTATCTTTGTATTTTATGTGAGGTTTGGAAATAAATGCAAGTAACTGAGGAGGTCCAAAATTGTTTTCCTGAAGCAGGCAGTTCTCATTTGTCACCCTGGAGAAATGCCTGTTAGCGTGCTTTCAGACCAGGCAGGTGAGCTCCTGAGGAACAGACTGGATAAAATACATGCTATTTCCAGAGCTTTATCACTTCCTGCAATAGGGAAAAGGTGCTCCTGTTGTTTGTTTATGTATGCCACTGTCATTAGTCAGTTGTTGCTCATTTGGGCTATTTTTGAAGGCCAGTGAAGGCTGAAGTGGTGTTGCATGGGCTTGAAAAATAGGACCAATTACTGTAGCTATGCAACTGAAGTGAAAAGAGTTTGTGAGTGAGACCGACAGGCAGGTGGATAATAGACTACAAGAGGATATCTGTGGTCCATTAGAAAAGGACACTCTGCAGTAGTGTGGCCTCTACGGCTGATGGGAAACAGAGCATGTGCTGCACTGGGTAATGTTCCTAGGGAGGTCCCACTCTCCGTTATTCCCATTCTTTCCCCAAGAAAACATCACTAGCTGTTTAAGACAAGTTGCGTGCTGTTAGCTTGGATGGAGTACTGCTCTGTTTCCACTTGGTAGACTCTCATGAAGAGCAAGGCAGATGCATGGACTGAAGGCTGCTGTTGGCAAAGAAATTGGCAACTCTTGACATACGCCTACAGCCATAACAGAACAGAAGCACAGATGAGCACTTGCCAGGACCCCAGGAGAGTAGAAGTCCTTAGAGTTCTTAAAAGGAAAATCAAAATGGAGAAACTATTTTAGCCTACGGTCCTTTAAATTTATGCTTTTCATTTTCTTTGTGCAAAATCCAGAATCTCTCCCTGCTTGCATTTTAAAGGGACTCTGTTCTTACCTTCTGTCTTGACACTGAAGATATGACCTGGGGTTTTGTAGGTAACCTCTGAACTGAAGCAATGCTTTTCATATTGTGTTCCTTGATTTGCTTTGCATATTCTTTTTGTTGCTTTAACTTCTCTTTCTGACAAAAGGAAAAAGTGTATGGTTAATGAAGTGTCTTGGTGGATCCATCAATGAAACACTTTTACCACTGGAGTCTTCCATTTACACCTCTGTGGCTGTTTAACCTGGCTATGCTATTGATCATTCCTTTGCACAACACAACAGGAAATGCTGATAAATGGCACAGCTTTTCTAGTCACTCTTCATTTTTAAGAGCTTTTTCTTGGTCTGTATTGAGGACAGAGCTCAACAGAAATGTGACAGATGTATCTTTATTCTGAATGTTTCAATATATCTGTTCAGTTCTAAAATGGCAGTGCTAATTATTGTCAGCTTTTACAATGACTTCTAAAACCTCTGCACTTACCTTCAAGGCCCTGAATGACATACTCCACTTATTTAACGGATGTTCTGTGTCTTTATATTTCCAGCATTTCATTATGCTCAAATTCAGCAGCATGCTCTACCTTGCCCCTGTTATCAGCCAATGTCAATTGTTTCCTTTCAATGCAGTGACACCCCAGTGGCATGCCAGGTTCCAGCAGCCTTACGATGGTGTCAAAAACACACTTAGCTCTGTGCCATGTGCCACTCTGTCCATTCCAATTTCAGGTCTCTAATCTGTTTCATTTATGGCAAGGAGGAAGACAATATAGGGGCTTGTCAATGACTCCAAAGGGATGATAATTTTAACCTTTTTTCCTTCCTGCTGTCCTACAATGTTTCTACAAAGCATGCCATATAAAGCACCAGTTGTCAGCTTAATAGGGTCTCAAAGCATGCGGGATGGAGTCTGCAGCACCTCAGATATACAGTTCCTAACAGACCCTTGTTATGAGCAGAGAATAGGTCAAATGATAGCTATTGTTCAGATACTTGTTGTGAACAATCTGTCTCCATTTCAAAAGGGTAATGCACATCCAGCTATTTTCTTCTTGTGTATACACAACTTCTTTTACTTCTACTTGGAAGGATCTGCAATTAGCCCTGCTGAATTCTGTGAACTACTCCCTGTTTCTGGACATACAAAATTAGACAGTTCAAATTATCCACAATATAGTTGTCTTTCCTTCTACTTGAAGGATAGGATCTCAAACTAGACCTAGAGTCAAGGATATAAAGTACCAGCAAAACATAGGTTGCTTCTCAGCAATGATTCCTTGGCCATGCTTCCCCTTCTAAGTTCACTTTGCACAACTGAAAAGCAGATCATACGCTAGGGACTGCTTACTTTTTCTTTGATTGCTTCATAGTCAGGTCCAAGGCCTCCAAGCTTCACATCCATATTTATGTAGGCTTTTGAACTAGATGGCTGAAAAACAAACAGCAGTGAGAGATTGTCCTTTATATGATTTTACAGAGAGCATAATTAAAGCAAGTCTTATAGTGTGCACCCAAGATAAGAGCAGGATTCAACTTGCAGTCTCAGTCTCACCTCTGGTGTATCTCCTTTTAAGGATTGTAAGTGACCAAAAAGATTGAGTTAATTGTACAAGTTGAATTACACTGTATTTCCTTTGAATCTAGGTGGGTAACTGCTGATCATGCAAATAACAAAGCAATACTCTCTCAGTCAAAAAAGATCTTTCATGAGCTTTATTTTTAAACAGCTTGAAGTGACCCATTTGACTGTTATTAGCATGAAACTCCAAAGAAATTGCTACAAGAGAAGCAGATAAAAGTACCTGATTTTGGTGGTAAAAAAATTAGGCAAATGTTATTAGTAATAGTAACCTTTCTTTGTTCTCAAAACTGCAACGGAAAATTGTTCACAGACAGTTTAAAAATACATTTCTTGCAGCACAGCAAAAGCTTTACAAGTGCATAAGGAAGACAGAAGATAAGTGATGGGCGATGCCATTTCAATACTTCACGACATTACTACAAAGACCTCAATACTTCCACAATCTTTTTAATCTCTCTCAAGAACATTGGATCAATTTCTAGAAGCGGACTACTTTTTAAAAACTTGTCAGTGGCGACTCATTCCGATCAGCTCTGTAGTAACTTCAACCACAGAGTAATGCAGAAACACCAGGAAAAGTCTATGCCAATGAAACATGCATTTCTTCAAAGGGCGCATTCAAGTTAAACTCAACTGCAGAGAAACTAATTCTATGCACTGAATGTTCTATTTGATGTTTCTTTGTGTCATTTATCCCTATTCTTTCGTGATATAGTTACACCTAACTTTTAATTTCAGGTACTGTGAAGAGTTAATCACTTTGCTGTCTACAACAAAATCAGGGCTTTCTCACTTCTTGTGATGAGTATGACTTTGTTTACTAGGAAAAGCTGGATTTTTCTGTGAGACATAAACAGTCTTAATATCTGTGGCATTCCTCACATATGAAGCGTGAGAAAGCTACTGAAAACACAGGACAGAAACAATGGTTTGAACTCAAGAGGAACAGAAAGGGAAGGAAATCTGCCCTTCAGGTACTATCATAATCCAGCTAATTCTTCTTAGAGGCATTCAAGCAGCAATACACAAACTGCCTCCTAGATGAAACACATGAGTAATTATTCCAGCTTAGATTGTCTGCCCTGAGACTTGGAGCTAACTTCTTAAACATTTAATTTGTCACGGACACACAGGGATATCTCTATGCTGTTCCACTGCATCTGTGTTAACTGCTCACAGCATGAAACTGGAACACAGAAATGACAAAAAGAAACAAGTTTTAATAAGGACCAAAATGGGATCATCAGGAGACTTGTAATAATGTTTATGCCGTTAGCTTTACAAATCCTCTAAATTTGTTGTTGTTCCATTTGATTCCCTTGGAAACCAAGAGATTTGAGTCGGATAGCAAATGACCATGACCAGGATAATGGTTTGCTCAGATCAGGCCTGGCTACCTGCTGCTTCATACAAATAGCTTTATTCTAAATCATTTTATCACTGTATAACTTAAAGGACAAACACTGCTCTGTGTGTTCGTAGAGCTAACCAAGACTGAAAGTGACACAGGGAGAGGTGGTGGTGAACCACCTTGCTCTTTAGACTAAAACGATTTTAGTGTCTCTTTCCACCTTTGTTTTCAATGGTTTTCAATGCTCTGGGCAAGTCAGTGTGTGCCAGTGTGCTCTCTGCAACACTGAAATACTTCTCAGTCCTCACTCCTTTTTTTTTGGTGAAGATCTTTGGATTATTAAGAAAAAAAATATTCATCAGAGGAGGAAATAGAAATGTAAAACCACCCAATCCACACCTATTTGCTTACTTTCTTTCTGACTTTTGGCTCTTTTTGCTTTTCCATTTGCACGAGATATCCTTCTGAGTTGCTTCGGCTTATTTTCACTTGATTTCCTTCACCGTTCTCTGGATCTCTGTCTGAACCACTTTCTACCTGTGGGATTATAGGTGGAAGTAGGCTGAACAAATGCCTGTCAGCTAAGTGAGCTTCTGTCACATGAGCGATTTCTTGGTGAAGTCGCTCCATCGTCTGTGTAAATAGGGAGGTTGTACAAGGGGCTGTTGGTGAAGTCTGAACAGAAGGTTGAGAAGGCCTTAAAAAAGAAAGATGGAGAATAATAAGAGTCTTTGTATACAGCAGATAGCTCAACAAGCAGTCTGTACATGGAATGATCCTTGCTCACAGACTATACTGGGAACATGAAGATGGAACTACAGGTATTTCACAGTCACTGACTTTCTTGCACCCAAGTGTATGGAAACTGTTTAAAATAAATTGAAAAATTACAAATGGGAAAACTTTCAGCGTGATGCAAAGCTAGCTTAAGCCAATGAAAACTGCCTTTAAATGGCTTTGGATTGGGCTTGCTGAGTACTGAAAGAATTATTTATCTATGTGAAATAAAACCTTCATTTTTATCAAGGTAGCTGAAATTCTACATAACTAAGGATTTTCATGCCCTTCCCCACCCATAGTGAGCCAGCACTGGCACTGGAATGACTGTGGATATTCACCCTGCAAGGCAAGTTTTGATATAACTCTGTGCAGCTGGCAGTTGAGTTCACGCACAGTGCTCTTTGCTATCCATTTTTTAAACTTCACCTTCTAGCCTTACAGAAGGAAACTTCCAATTGTGGAAAAATCTATGTGCAAGAGAGCCTGGAGTACAGAATGATCCTTTTCCAATACCGTATTTAAAAATCAATTGTTATAATGAATCTTAATTTAGTAGTAATCTATAGTGGCAGGTCTGTAGCAAAATAGTTTATACTTTGGACTTTAAAATGTTTTCTTGTCCATTTCTATTATTTCTGGGCATCATAGTGTTATGATAATACTGTTTCAACACTTCTATCCTTACCATAAAATACTGATAGCATAGTTCTGATACCTTTTATGCATGCAAATGTGTCTTTTGCAATCCCGAAGTGATACTTGATCCTTCACCAACTCCTGAAAATTGGCATTAAAAGTAGATGAAATATTCCTCTGATTTGGACGCGCTTGACCACTGGTACTGTTATCTCTTGCAAAAAGCTGCGCAGTGACTTGGTTATATAAATGTTGCTGGTCATGTGGAAGTCCATTTGGACAATCATGCTGATATTTCTTGTTCTCCTTGCTGGTATATGTCGGAGATATAATCTCTGCTGGGTTGAATTCATGGGATGTTGGATGAAAAGGATACACAGATGTGGTAAAATCCTGATTAACAAAATGACTTGAATTTGGGAAATTATTTAAGCAAGTATCTGAATTTGTTGCTGTATTAGTGTCAGGGCCACCAGAAAGACTTGGATACAGCCATTTCTGCAGTGTGATGCTGTCGTCTTGCTCCACTGCCTGCGTGGGAGTAGTCTGAAATTCTGATATTTGGTGGTGCCTGTGGTGCCAAGACTTTGGTTCTGTTGGTCTTCCTGGTGGTTGTTGGCTGTCACTCCTTGGGAAAGCTCTCCCTTTGAGACTCTGGTTGGATTTTATTTTATTGCTCTGGCAGGACTTATTTTGGTGATCCTGAAACAAGTTATCAAAAGTAGGGTGAATTTCAGTGGTTACTATTTTTTATGTTCATTAAGATCAACAATATACAAGTGTATGGGTAAGTATGCCTGTCACAATGTCTTCCACATAGCTTCGGGTTTGGGGTTTTTGAATTAACAAAATGTCCTGATAGAAAGGCCGTTAAAGAGACCTAGGTATGGTATTGGTCCTTCACGACTACGGTAACAGTTCTTTAATGTACTGATAATGAGTTAGGTCAGCTTGCACAAGTTTGATTAGACCCATCAAAATCACTCCCTACTGCTTGTATCTAACCCTGACTCTGTAAATTATGCTCGTGGATAGACCAGGTGATGGCCTGGATAGACTTAATGCAAAATTAAAATACGTTGGAACCCCTAATCAAGAACAGAAGCACTGATGCTATTCAGGTGCTGCACAGACAATGTCTAATACTGCATCAAAACTTTGCTTAATGGCCTGAGACAAATTCTGAAGCAGAACACTATAGAAATGGTTCCTTACAGATGCAGACTATATCTAAGAAATGATGCTGCGGTAAATACGGAATAAGGGAGTGTTATCTGAATGAGGTGCAAAACCATACAATCACAGAATGGTTTGGGTTGGAAGGGACCTTAAAGATCATCTCATTCCAATCCCCCTGCCATGGGCAGAGACACCTTCCACCAGACCAGGTTGCTCAAAGCCCGGTCCAGCCTGGCCTAGAATGCTTCCAGGGAAGGGGCATCCACAGCTCCTCTGGTCAACCTGTGCCAGTACCTCATCACCCTTACAGTAAAGAATTTCTTTCTTATATCCAGTCTAAATCTACGCTCTTTCAGGTGCCCTTAAATGCACAGGACTACTTGTTTCTAATCCTGTAGATGAGTGGTAGCTCACTGTCAACCATCTGGGGAAAATGTTTCAAAAATCAAATCAGTTCTTGGTTTTTATCCCCTAATGAAAGTAAACTGTACTAAACTTCAGAAAAAGATGGCTATGTACACACTGTTAGATTGGTCCACAGCAGAAACAGACTGATGTCAATGATTTAAACGATTTAATTTCTAAACCAAACACTTCTCCCTGCCCTGTATACTGCAAAACATTATCCAAATGATAAGAAACAACTTAAGAATTTAAGCACACCAGGACAACCGCCTTGAGCTAAACCAACATACTCTGAATCTGCAGCTTATTTAAGATTTATAATTTTCTAATTACAGCATCAGGTGTTGCCTATTTTGAGGAAAGACATGGCTTTCCTTCTAGGGAATATACAAATCCATTCTCAGTCCATTTAATCTTTGTCAGCGCTAAAATCTTCCATTTCATCCTCCTGTCTCTCTAGGGTTCTTTTGTTAGCAACACTTGCAATCACTGCATAACATACGCACTCAGAATAACTACTTAATGGTAGGTATTAAATCCACATATAGAGCAGAATGTTTTGGCAAAAGCTTTAGCACTGGGGAATCCTGACTCCTGGTGCCAAGATGATGATTTGTTAGCTCGACCTCTGCTGTAACGATTAATGTTCTGGCATACTGTGCCACTGGTGGAAAGCATGAACTGCTGCCAAACTGGGGCCAGGCCAATGTTTTCCCGTTTAAGCAGAATGAGCAGCTCTGTAAAATACCTCCTTCATTCTGAAATTCCGTATATAAAGCACATCTCTCACAATGAAAAGCAGCATAAAACCTTGTTTCTCCTTTACAGAAGTACAGCTTCCAGTCTTAAGTGAACAGCGGGGAATTTAAACAGTCTGCCTGAATTACTTCAAATACTTGTAATATAAAGAGAGTAACTAGGTTTGCCAATAATAATTCTATTTGGCTTGTAGTTCTGGTTCCAAAGTTCTTGGTTTTTCATCAGTGATGCTAACCTGGTCTCTTTTATTGCTCCAAAGACTATCCCATTGCCTTGGTTTGATAAGCCAGCATAAAACAGATCTACAGACATATATATGGAGGAGGTCAGTGCCACTTTTTCTACTCATAATATTTTCTGTTTTATGGTAACCACTTGGTGTTCGCGGGGATTTTAGGGGACAAGAAACGCAACAGTAGTTAAATTCTAGCTCAGAATCCTTATGAACCATCAAACACATCCATTTACTAGTTTGCACTTTTACATTATTACCAACCAAATAATGTCCTAAATAGGCAAGATTCTTTGAGCTCATAATTTCTTGGGATTTGGGATCTATTTTAGTTTAAAATCATTCAGTATATAAAGCAGCATATGCAATAAGTTTTGGTGATTATCTACTGACATATGTAAGGATTTATTGTCAGTAACTGGTACTTTAAAAGTAATGAGATTACAGCTTTAAATATTCAAACTTCAATGCTTTTACATATATATTTCAATTATCATGCTCTATCAAAGCGGAACCTTGAGTTGCTGTGCTTTCAGGTACCATTTGTCTTCCGGCTCCATTTTCACATTCTGGAATTGTAGGACACGCTGAGCTGGCTCCTCATCAACTGTTTTAGGATCTATAACCTAAAAAACAAGAGTGTTTACGGCCACAGCCCAACCAGCTGAAAGGGCTTAAAAGTCTTGGGGAAAAAATGAGAAATAATTTGCCTCCTATTAAAGCTGAAATGCTAAAGTTAGGCATTATGTAATATATAACAAGAAAATGAATGGCTGAAAAAGAAAATGAAAAAGGAAGCAAAAACTCAGTTAACAGTGGTGTGGTAGTAGGGAGTATTCCTTCTACTTCTAAGAAGAAGAGAGGAAAACAAAATTGCAGGAAGTATGTAGCACAGAAACCTACTTGTAACTCTCAAATGTCTGGGCTGCTCCATTTATATGAGAGCCAGTGGATGTACCTAATAACAGAAAAGGAACTAGACAATCATCATTGCCCAAGCTATCAGCCAGTGTACCAGGATATTGATGGATGACACACACCACAGCAAGGTCTTGAACAACAGCATAATACAGAAAAAGATGGCAAAACATAGTAATGTTGGCAGAAAAGTACAAGGAGTAGCTGCAGAAATAAAACATCTATTACACATAGCCTGGCAACAATATCAAACAGCTTGTGCAAAACAGCAGGCCCACAAACACTAACAACATCTTCAAGGTGGCCACAGTTGTGGTAGCGTGATGGCTGGAAATCAAATTTGAGCAATTTTTTGAGTGTGGCTGCTGGCACTACAGATTTCAAAGCTGAGAGATATCCTCATAAATACGGCAATAATGAAAATTTTTCATGAAAGCATCTAAATTTTTTTCCCAATCTATAAAAACTTCACGAAAACCAATGCTTTTTTATTTTTCATTTATACTCATGTGGTCCCAAACTATCTTGCTAAGTACCATAGCAAGTGTGACCTCAATTACGTGTGCAGTTAGGCAGTCTCACCGTAAAGAGACTACAGCTAACTATGTGCTGGACTCACGATTGTACTAGAAGTACCTACGCACCACTGGAGAGTGACACTGGCTAGCACAGGGGGACTTGCACTGAGATGATATTTGTGACCAAGAGAATTATTAACTGAAAATCATAATGGTGAAATCACCTCGAGGGAAGTGTTAAATCCTTCTGGGGAGCTGAGCCTCTCATCTTTGGGGGTAAGAGATTAAGATAACTAGGAAAAGCTAGGTAGGGTCTATTGCTGAGTTTTCAGGTGATCTCATTGCTCCAAATCACAATGCATATTCTGTTAGTTGTGACCAGAAAAGTTCACAAATTAAAATTTACCACGCAGGTTTCTCGAAGTGTGGATAGATACAGCTTTGCAATCAGTAAGACGTTTTTGGTGGAACCAACTGACTCACTGTATTGATAGTTTACTGGGCAGGTAAAGCATACTTCTACATTATCTCTTTGAAAGAGGAACAGGACACAACCTCTGCCAGCATTTTTTGTGAACTATTCTATTAATACCAATCAAATTGAGAAAATGATCAAATGAAATTGCATTTTGAGCATCATAAGCTGTGTAATGCCTATTCTGTTAAATTGAGGCCCATAATTGCTTCTCTACTGAAAAGATACAACAAAGACAGCAATCATGGCATGTCATTATCCCAGACTAGAAAACCGGCCTTTGCAGTGAGGACTTCAAAGGCTTGTGGTTCTCGAATTGCATTTGGCTGCTATTGTTGAAGCGCAGGCAATCTTGATTAGGTGTTTACACTGAGGTAAGGCGCAGTGCACAGAGAGTCTGAGTGCCTTGGTCTAGAGCCATTAAAAAATTGTACATTATGTTCCTTGCTTTGAAGTAAGGGGCTTGTAGGTAGGAAAGCAACTCATATTGAGTACAGCTGAGCTAGACTGGGCCACTACTTCCCTCTCTTTCTCTCTCTCTCAAAGAAACTCATCATCAGGTTCTTAAAGAATCAGGCAACACTGCAAAGAACTTGATACTTTATAAAATGCTATATAAATTAGTAAATATACAGATCAACACACATTTATGGTATGTTTTTGGTACATACAGCCTGCTGTCTCTATGCACAGACATAACAGCTGTAAATCTTGCAAGAATGAGGCCACAAATATTTAACTATTGTTAGGCCAGTTGAAAAAAGCTGTACACAAATTATCTACTTCAATGTAAACACTAGTTCACTATCACAGTACCTGACAGCCAGCAGTGATGCATCAATAAAAAACAGCTTCAACATCCTGCGAAGCTCAAAATAATTCATTTTAGGAAAAAACAGTATTCAGAACAGGTTTGATAGCTCCAGCAGAAGACATGTGGCTTGTTTGCTCCTTCGCATACTTCATGTTTTTGCACTTTTGATAGTTTTCCAGGTGAGGTGACTAAAGTTGGCTCATGGGCCAGGTCTGGTCAACCAGATGCTTCCGTCTGGCCTTCTTTCACCCCCTTCAACAAGATGGAGCAATGGATGTCTCAATTAAGATCATGAGAGGTAAGTACTTCTTGCTATGCCTGTCTGCAGCAAATATAAAGCTAGACGACAGTAGGTGGTGATGCTGTTGCAGCTATATCAACTTGCTGAGGAAAACACCACACCTTTCTGCACACATGCTGCCTGGCGCCTGCTATGTCACAGCTCTGCTGGCCCCATGGCTACTTCAGCAATGTAATCTTAGAACATAGCCCTGTTTTAACAGACTTTATTTTCTGTTATGTATCTTTGAATAGTGGCTACACAATGAAGTCCTGATCCCTGGCTCCAATACTTACATCGGAAAAATTTTCAGAATTCCCTAAATGGTAAACATAATCATATCAACACAGCTTTAATTAGCGTCAATCTACACTAATTATTTTTACCATCAACCAAATTATAACTGAAAAAAACAAGTGCTCTTAATAGCTCTGCTAGAAAAAACTTGTCCACCGTTGCACTCATTGTAACGTAGTCAGCAGATGCCCTCTAGTGTTGTGTCAACTGTTCATTAGCCTCGGAAAATGTCTCACTTGACGCAGAAAGTCTCTGTAGTTTTGCAAGTTAAGAATTTTCTATGCTACCGCTCCTGGAGTGATGCAACGACTCCCACCTTCCCTTTATGCGTAATAAGTAGCATGTAAAAGCAACAAACTCATGTATAATCGTTCATTAGGAACTGTAATTACATTTCCACTTAATCTTTAATACAAGTTGTCTGACATTTCACAGTCAATCATAAGAAAGCTAGGCCCTTCAAATCCAAGTACTGCACATGACTAGTATCTGCTGACTGATTTCAAATGTGAGGTTTGGTCTGGCTGAGAAAGCACATAGGGGGAAAGGGTTGTCTGACCACCCATTGGGTGATGCGTGTTTCTTGGATATTCCTACTTGTGTGGCCCTAAATGACAGTGATAAGCAAGAGCGTGCATGGCCCTTGAAAGCAATGTGACCACAATACATTTTCTGGTTCTCAAACTCCATTGTACTGCATTGAGCCAAACTGGGAATATGCTATTAGCAGAGATAATCATTACCATATTCATGTTGACAAGGCAAAGAAAAATCAGAGGCAGCAAAAAAAGAACCACTGATAAGGTACAATGTAGGTCCCCCAGGAAGGAAGACGGCATTTCTTTTGCATCAGGATTAAGAACTCATGAGAGAGCACCTCTGTGACCATGCAGACATGCTGCATGGCCAAGAATATACGTAGCTTAACTAGGCTTGTAACAAGGCCATCCCTGGGGTTGTGAGTAACTGAGGACTTGTCTATTATTCCATAAAGGGTGAACAAGATTCACATAGGAAATCATAAGCTATCAATTGCATGATAGATCCTAAATCTACTTATCTCTTCTGCAAACCTAATCACACAGCTATTCCACTGTAACACTAGACAGTCCTCAGTTTATACCAGTTAGAAAACATGTAAAAGTTACCTACTTGCTTTTGAAGAACTTCTTGCTTTTTACTGTGTAACTGAAGATAGGAATTTATCTTCTCTGAACGTAATCCTAAAGTTTGTTTATTTTTTTTCACAAAGTCTTTTTTTGCTCTTTGTGGTCGATCTTCTTGAATCTGAAGAGAAAAAGCACTGCCATACGTGCTGGGACTATCTTTGAAATGACAGCCATCTGCAGATTCCTTCCCTTTGGTATGTAGCCTGAAAGGTTCACTGCTGACCACAGCATTTGGTTCATGAAAGCTTAGTAATTCTGTACCAAGCTCTGAGAATTCATCTTGTGACTTTGCCTCCTGTTGATTCTTTTCTTCTGGGGAGCCATTTGAATGGAGGTAAAATGAATCTTCTGAAAAGTCCACACTGCTTCCTTCAGCAACTTGACATGCTTTTTCTGCCTCAGAAAATTCTGCTACCTCTTTTATATTCTTCCAGTTAGGATTGTATCTTAAGTTGAAATATTTCTCCACGGACTGTTGTTTGCTATTTAAAAAAGAAACACAAAATGATTTGTGTAGAAACTGTATAAATTCTGTATTATTTCAGTGTGCAATTGGAGTCAACAAATGTACTGCAAATATGGTCAACTGAATTATTTCAGTGCACGCAGTACGGCCATTTGTGGGATTGGGATCAGAACAGTTTTATCAAACATTTTTTAGTGAAAATTCAGGCAGGACCTCCTCTTTATTTTTAATTTTCATTATCAGTGAATATTAAATTGGCCTAACATTCAGATCACAGTAGAATACAGTCTGTACCCTAGATTCAGCATAGAAATCATAAGCACTAGCAGAATCAACTAAAAGCTTAATTATTGTAACATACTGCTTCTGTTGTTTCCTTTAAAATGATGTAGCCTACAAAAGAGTATATGTTGCTCATTCTTCAGAGGCTCTGCTGTGTGAAAGAACACTGATATTTCTGGTAAAATCCCTCTCTAAAATGTCAGTAGAACTGACTGCTTAAGCAAGAACTGCCTACAGCTCTGTATTTTTATTCTCCTTTCTCATTCCTATGAAACATCATGATGTTTCAGTAAAAAAACTCTGTATAAAAGACCTAAAGTATCTTCTCACTGAAAAAACAGGCTGTAATTGAGGTAAGTGTCGAAAAACATAAATCAGAAGTGTTTGTGGGTTTGGTTCTTCTTTTTAACAAGTGTCCAGCGTGTTGCTCTGAACTACATTTGTCATAAAGCAAACAAAGATGGTCTGCCTTAAAAAAGCCACAACTGATTCTGTTTATGATCTATGGTCTAATCCAACAGGAGGAAATGCAACTGCAGGAGCCAAATACACACAAATTGGCTTCCAGGAGACGTGTGGGCAGTGGTAGGAGTAAAGAGTGCGGGAGAAAAAAGCTTTTAACACTGTTTCTTCTTAAGTGGACCTGCAGTATAGTCCTGGTTTCTTGGACACTGGCGAACGGTGAGCCTTTCAAAGTGACACTTATAGGCACGGAGACCTGGTTGACTCTTCAGCCCCAATTAAAAGAAATGTACTCATCTGCTGGATTCTCCAAACAATGGCATAGTTAATTATATTAACATTTCCATAAATCATTTATTCATCCTTTCTAAATTAGTTACATGCCTATGCCTATATTTCAAGTGGGCCCCCTTATAATAAAATAATCTGTTTCTCTAGCTATGCTTTTCATTTCAGGTAAGCATTGGTGCTGTGGTATCCTGTATACTGGAGATTAGACGATTTACACTGGTGAAAACATTATTATTCCTAGTTGTCATACACCACAGGTAAACAGAAATAGGTGACCATAGTTTCAAGTGAGTACAGAAATATGCGATATAATTGCAATGATTCAAATAAGAGAGTATAATGCTAAAGAGTTCTATTGTGCTGAAATGTGTGCACAGCAGTATTATGCAGGCCAGGTCACCGCACGGGAACAAAATGGGTGTGAAGAGCTCCTTCATCTCTAATCATCTGCAGACAAAAAGTGCACCTTTTATTCCTCCCCCCAACTTGATATAAAGGTTAGATGGACTCTGTACTCATCAACAACAGTGTTGTATGTAGACAACAGATGCAGTGTTTCCTCTTCAAATTCCGAGGTTAGTAATGGATGTAGAGAGGGGGTTTCATATGTATATGCTGTGATATTTGCTCCGGTTAATGGACTGTATTTGAGTACTTACTAGGCTAAGTTCAAACAAAATAAAATCAAATTTCCATTTAATGAAGAGCCTCACATTCAGCATAGTATTCAGTCAAAAAAATTACTAAAAATTAGAGCATGTTTCTAGTACAATTAACATCATTTGCACTCACAATAAAATATTCAATAACTGGCCATTTTGCCTGTTGAAGAGGTGAATAAAAGCATGCTATTAATCATTTAGCCTTCATTTGTTTGCCATTTTATTTTAAGTAGACAATTAAATTGAAACTGCACGTTATTATTACTTCAGGTTTAATTTAATCCCTTTAAATTTGAGAATTATTCCCAATTACAGAGTGTTAAACCTTTTATGCATGACAGCAAATTAAATTTTATTTTATGTACCCAGTTAATGCTTTCTAAAGAATGTTTAAATGCGATGGTAACCCTGGAAATTTTAATTTTAGATTTATACAGCTATAAGGACAAAACGGCATTTATTCAACCCACCAATTTTTGCCTGTGAGTTTTCTTACAGGAAGTGGCCCGGTTTGCTCAGCACAGGTCTTTCCGTAAGGAATGAAAAGAGGATGTGTTGGTACTGGTCCTTGTTGTCTCCCTGGTCCTTTTTCACAGCCCTGCTCCCGAAACCCTCTAGCCCATGACCTCAGAACTGCTGCACCATCTGAAGGTCTGACAGTTACATGGCAATGGTTGCCTATTTGAGATGGTAGCCAGCACGTACTGCTAAATACTGTAGTGCCTCGTCCACAGCCCATTACAGCCATGGGACTTCTTGCACCGGCTGCAGTTCTGGATCCAGCAGACAGATATAAGAGGGGACAATAGGCCTTCACCAGAAGCAACTGTAGTTAAATGCTCCCCGGTTAGCTTATCCAGTAATGTTTAAGAGTAGGGGTTAGCATGTGTCAGTTCACCACTTCCTACCTCCTTGCCTGCCTGTGTCAGAGGCACCTAAATAGGTGTGTAGCCTTCGCCTCTGTATGCAGTGTCTAGAGCCAGTACGCGGGGAGCCTATGCAGGTCTGTGAGGGCTGTTTTCCATCTTACTCTCCTACGCTGGTGTTGTAGCCAATAAACAGTGGAGACTATGTTGGAGAAATGGGCATAATAGTTATGAATGTGGGTAAGATGAAACAGTACATCTTCATGTGTAACTAAGTCCATAGGTGCTCTTTATAGCACTTTGGCAATAGAACTTGGTCTTGAATACGTAATGCATATTCTGAGGAGCATCAGGTTTTAAAGTGTCAGAACTATTCTGCTCCTCTACTAAACTCTATGCCTTACCTTTCGTTACCATCATTCTTTTGTATTCCATTTGTATATCGATTTGTGTCACACTCAGCTCCTTGTTGTTTTAAGCTCATCTCCTCCAAGCTATCGTCCTCCAAGCTGTCACTCTCCAACTCATCTGAATACAGTCCTACCAGCTCTTCATTTTCATGAATCCACTGCTGGAGCTCTAACTGATACTGTCTCTCCTGAACAAGGCTTTCACAGTCAGACTCCTCGGAGTCATGCAGACTTGAGGGAAAGCCCTCTTCACTTACAGATGGCCTTTTCCGATTCGCAGAGTGGAAATCTGGTTGCATGAGTATGCTTTCGGGAAAATGTTTTTTACCCAAGTTGCAAGTGTGTGGAGAAGAAACTGAAATATACTTCATGTCTGAAGAATGCATTCCGCGTTTTGCACTGATGGTACACACCAGCCCTGTATTTGGAAAACACGAGAGCAAACATAAAAAGGTTGTTCACTCGATGATAATATTTGTTAAAAGGTGGAATTGTGGGTAGTATCATCGGCTTGGGCTCAGAATTTGATCTTCTGTAGATAGGACAATTCTTTACTCTCATCTGTTACACCAATTTGCCCTCAAGCATTTAATGTCAAGGTCCCTATAGAGCAAATGCATGACTTCCTGCTATGAAACCTACCTTAAACTGCGATATTAGTGATAACAAAGCTAATCATGTATAAACAGCATAAAAAGAAGCTATGACAAAGCAACCAAATTTTATGTATTAACTTCTGAGAGCTAACAGAAATGTTGCATGTTCTCTTTATTCAACTTTATGTCATCTTGACAAGTAAGTTGTCAGCAAGAAAGCTTGTGAGCCAGAGGAACACAGTGGAAAGAACTGGAACACTTCTTCGATTCGAGAGTTTCTTTTCATCTGATTGCATTTAAACGTTTGTAAGTCATGTGCACCGCTAGATCCTTACGAGATACAGAGTCTGGGAAGAAGGAAACAGGCAGTGTTTTGTGAGGGAACCTGCGCTCGTCAATTACAGCGCGCACAGCGTGAACAGCCCGTGTAAAGGCACACGGCGAGTGTCCCCTCAGTACGTGGGCGACTGTTAATACACGGAAACGCAGAACTTTTGTTTTTCAGGGTCAGCGCTGCTTGCCGCACGCGAGTTTACCCCGCGGGAGGCCGTTTGCACCCGGCTGCACGCCTGTGCCCCTCGCCTCACGCCGGTCGCTGATGGGAGGCAGCAGCCGGGAGGGGAACGCAGCGCGTCC